GCTCCTGCTCAGCCTGCTTTCTTATGCAACACAGGCCCACCTGCCCCAGGGGTGACACTAAAGCTATCCAGCACAGACCCTGTCTCCAAAACATAAACTTATAGGGTCTTACACATTTCTGGATTTCTAGGTCCTAGAATGTAGCCTGGCATAAATGGGTACTTTATAAGCCTTTGATGAACAAACAAGTCACAGGTATATGTTCAGATTCAAAGGTAAAAAAGGAACCTATCATTATCAAAGGCATCGGTCACCTATGTATCACAATAAAATGAATTCCTCCTCTCTTCTAAGAGTCTTAATGTTGAGGGTCAAGGGATCTCTGTTTATAGATGGAGACACTGAAGACCCCTCTTTGGTCCAGCCCACTGATCCACCCATCCCACACCATCTGCAGTCCTCCTCTGTCTTGCCACCCTGTAGCTCAGAGCCTGCACGATATTCTCTCCACTTGGAACATACTTCCCTGCCAGCTTCCTTCCCCTGGTTTTCACTAATCCAACTAACTCCAGCCCGTCTTTCCAAATTTACTCCTTCATTTCCTCTGTGCGTCATTTACTGACTCTCGGTTGGCTGTCGTGGGGCTGTATCTGGATGTCTTTCCTCAAGGATGTTCCAAAACACCCCGTGTGCAGACGTTCTACTTCATGCACTGAGCCATAAGAACTGATTTATGCAGCCTTTCTTGGTGGCTTGGGAGCTCTTTTGTATACAAATATTCTGTGTCATTTGACTGCACGTATCTGATGCCAGGCATCTCTTTGGCACATGGTTGCAGACCCATACCCCAACCTCACTGCTACATCTTGTAAATCAGTATGACTGGAGCATGGCCCAAGACACACATAGTCATAACAAGCTCTCCAAGTATTTCCAGAATCATATGCAGCGTCTAGTCAGGATGATGTGACAGTAACCAGATCTCATCTGTTTGAATCTCCAGCTAAATTGCAGACAAAATAAATGAAATGATTTCTAAGACATTGAGCAATGGTGGGGAAGACCTGGCCCCAGTCAGAGGAGAAACCACATAAGCCCATGGTTACTCTGGAGTATGACAGATAAAACATTCCTAAGCTACGCTGGAGAGAGGGGATCCATCCCTGAGCTTGGTGGTCTCCAAGAGTAGGGAGCTAGGGCAGGAGGGGATCACTACAAGCTGCACAGGCCCCTTTGAGTATTCAGTGAACAGATCAACAGGTACATGTGGAGAAATCACCCAAGGCTTCAGAACCACCTGAAATACGAAATGAATGTGCCCTAGCATTTCCACAGGAGGACTGCCAACGTTCTCGTTGAGTTTCTCTATCTGTGCTAAACACCTCAACCAAAGCAACTTGTGAAGGAAAAGAATTTACTTACCTTACACTTCTATCTTTCATAGTGTATCTTTAAAGGAAATCAGGCAGGAACTCAGGGCAGGAACCTAGAGGCAGGAGCTAAAATATGGACCGTGGAGGAACGTTGGGTACTGATTTGCTCCTCTGGCCTGTGCTCGGCCTGCTTTCTTATACAACTCAGGACCATCTTCCCAGGTGTGGCACCACCCAACAATGGGCTGGGCATCACTCCACATCCCTCAACAATCAAGAAAATGCCTTATAGACGTGCCTGTAGGCCAATCTGGATAGAGAAAATTCCCTTGTTGAGGTTCTCTCTTCCCAGGCGTGGTCAAGTTGACAATCGAAGCTATCTATACAGCACAGCTGAGTTTAGAAATAGGCCAAACACTCAGAATTTCTCTATGAAATGCAGCACAATCTCCAGCCACTCATGTAGCAGACAGGGGTGGTAGTGCAGGAGGTATAGACAGGAGGATCCCTGGGGCTCACTGGACAGCCAGTCCACCTAAATCAATGAGCTCCATGTCAGTGAGAGCTCCTGTCTCAAAACATGATACTGGATACAAAACACTGGACTCCAACCTCTGGCCTCCACATATACACTCACACAAATAGTTTACAAAAGCAAAGAAGGACACTACATGTTAATAAAATTTGACCACATGGGCTGGGAAGATGGTTTATCACACACAACGTGAGGACCAGAGTTCAAATCCCCAGAATCCACAAAAAATCCTAATGTGTAGCCTGAGCATCTGTAATCCCAGCACTCCTATGGGGAGATGGGAGGCAGAGAAGGGAGTCCTGCAGGCCAACTAGCTGGGAGTATTCAGTAGAACAACAAAGGAATCCCATCTCAAAAGGTAAGGGCTAACACACCTAAGGTTGTCCTCTGACCTCCACACGTACACTATGCACATGCATCCACATTCACATACACAAATGCATGCTCACATACATACATGGTACATACACACAAACCAAAATGTTTTCAACACATCAAGAAGGTATGACAGGCTAGGGATGGTGGTGCATGCCTTTAATCCCAACACTTGGTTGGTAGAAGCAGGTGGATCTCTTGAGTTCAAGGGCAGTTTGGTTTATATAGTGAGTTCCAGATCAGCCAGGGGCTACATGGTGAGATCTTGTCTCAAAAAATTAATTAAAAATAAAATTAAAAAGCTGGGTGCGATGATACATACTCAGGAGGCTAAGCCAGGAGGACCGTACATTCAAGGTCATCTTTGACTACACAATGAGACTCAGTCACAAAAATCCATTGAAGGTGTTGCCACCAAGCTGGCCTCAAACTTGCTATGTAGCTGGGGATGACCTTGAACTCCTGATCTTCCACCTCCCAAGTGCTAGGATGACAGGTGTGCACCACCATGCCCGGCTAATAGTAATTTTTATTAGGTCTGGTTTATGTCAACTTGAAAGGTCAGGTAGGATGTAGATCACAGGGAGATGGGAGCGCACGTTCCAAGGTTCTCGAGTCAAAGTGGTATAACTTGTTTTGGGAGGGGGATGGCCACAAGCTAAGTATGCTTACTGTTATCCAGAGCAAAGCAACCACTGATAAAACAGCAGGGAAGTACAGAAGAATACTCACCCAATTCAAAAGCAGGCCAAAAAGGAAAGCAAGAAATAGTTGGGTATAATAGTTGGGGTATAATGATCACATCTCATACAACCAAGGCAGGAAGATTGCCTTGGAGTTCCAGGGCAGCCTGGCCTACAAAGTGAGTTCAAGGCCATCAAGGCCTATAGTTTGGGCTACAGAGTGAGACTC